ACTGGCTAAGAAGGAGATTATCAATGGCCTGCCTAAGTTGGATTTTATTGATACCACTGTTTGTGGTCCGTATCAACAAGGTAAACAACTTAGGGTTCACCACAAACAAACTTCTAAGATCTTGACAAGCAAGACACTTGAATTACTATATATGGATCTTATGGGACCATCGAGGACCGAAAGTCTAGGTGATAAAAGGTATATTTTGGTTGTGGTGGATGATTTTTCTCGGTTCACGTGGATTGAGATGTTGAGAGATAAAACTGAAGCGGTCAGTTTTGTCATTTCGTTGTGCAAGAGACTGGGGAATGAGAAGGGCTATTCAGTCTCCAGAATTCGCAGTGATCATGGCAAAGAATTCGAAAACTTGAACCTTGAGAACTTTTGTCTAAAAGAGGGCATCCAACATGAGTTCTCTTCGTCGATCACCCAACAACAGAACGATGTAGTTGAGACGAAAAATCGTGTGCTTCAAGAGATGGCCAGAGCTATATTTCATGGCAAAGATCTAGCAATGCATTTCTGGGGAGAAGCTATTAATACTGCGTGTCATATTATCAATAGAGTTTATCTCAGACCTAAGATTACCTTATGAGATCTGGAAAGGTAAGCAACNTGTCTAGAGCAGGGGAGCCAACATGAGTTCTCCTCGTCGATCACCCCACTATAGAACAGTGTAGTTGAGAGGAAAAATCGTGTGCTTCAAGAAATGACCATAGCTATACTTCATGGCAAAGATCTAGCAATGCATTTCTGGGGAGAAGCTATTAATACTGCGTGTCATATTATGAATAGAGTTTATCTCAGACCTAAGATTGACATGACACCTTATGAGATCTGGAAAGGTAAGCAACCTACTGTTAAATACTTTCGTATGTTTGGTAACAAGTGCTACATTCTGAGAGATAGTGAGAATTTGGGAAAGTTTGATTCTAAGAGTGCTGAAGGTATATTTTTAGGGTATTCCAAGAATAGTCGGGCTTATCGGGTATACAACAATCGTACACGTGTGGTGATGGAATCTATAAATGTGATGGTTGATGATGCTGATTGTGAGGGGGGGACTGGTGGAGAGCATGTTGAGTTGGAACAGTTGAATGTTGAACCTG